TGTTTTCTTTACATTTTTCTCCATTCTCCTTTATTCCTTTCTCTCATCTTTTCATTTTACTTCCAGTTTTTTTTTTTTTTTTTAATGCTTTTATCCTTCCCTCAAGCTTCCTTTCCTTCTGTGGCATCCCAGCTCACATGCTCAATTTTAAACAAGCAAACTTACCATCCTCATCCTAATCTACTATTTTAAATCTAAATTGTATGACATTCCCTGTGCTAGTCATGCTCTCTTCCTTTCCCTGGCTGTGCTATTATAAAATGAACTTCTCTGCCCAAGGTTTCCAGATTGGTACCACTTTAGCATGCCAAATCCTGGTAATTCTCTCATTGGTTTACCTTCTCATTCTTTTGGATCCTTAGCACATGTGCATGTGTGTGTACCACACAGCTGTGCTGGGTATGCACATTCATAACTGAATGTGGCTGGTGGACACTCATCTGTTGAGGTCCCAACCCCCCTTTCCCCCATTGTATTAGATTAAGAGCTTCTTGAGGGAAGGGAATGTTCATTTCATCAATGTACCAGAGTTATTCAAGTTACACGGCTCTGTGGATGGAGTCACTGGGCTCAGCAAGTGTTGGTGGAGTGGCATATCCACTGAGGTGATAAACAAAATTTTGGGTAGTCCAAGGGCATGAGTAAAATAGGTGCCCATTGATTCAGACTCCACAAACAAACCTGTATGCTGACCAGAGTATAGGGGGCAGCAGAACTTGCAATAGCTGCCACTGATCCAAGCACAGGGAATTTCCTCTGCTACAGAGGAGAAAACAGACTCAAGTACCATCATCCTGGTCCCACTAAAAAGGAGCAGCAGATGTCAGAGCCAGTATCTGTAGCTACTTTGTTACTTATGGATTTCTTTTTTGTGCCATCTCAAGTATCTGTTCATTTGATGGGAACATTTCTCCTCTTTATCTACCAGACCAATTGCCTTATTGAAAAAGCTAACTTACGTCATAAAATGTTGTTGTTATGTGCCGAGTCAGCCCCGACTCATAGCAACCCCTCCTTAGGTTTTCGAGGTGGTATCACTACAGAAGTAGATTGCCCAACCTTCCTTCCGAGGACGTCATAAAATAGTAACATCTAACTACTCAAGGAGCATAACTATTATTAAAGATAGTCAGAATCATCTAGTCTAGAATATCCATACACATACAGATAGATAGATAGACATGAAGATAGATAGATTTTTAAAGGGTCAAAGAGCAAATATTTTAGGCCTTGTAGGCCATATGGTCTCAGAATTAAGTATTTTACCTTGTCCAAAAGTGTTCTACATTGGGAATCTTCACTGTATGTAACATGAATGCCTCTTTAAGAGGCGGCATATGATGTCTTGTCTTTGGATTCCCTGTAAGCCAAATCCTTACCTGACACTTAATGCCGGCAAGGCTGCAGGTACACGTCTCTGGATCACAGAACATGCGGCAGTCACAGCCACAGTCCTCTCGCGATAGGCGGATGGCTCGCAGCTCGTGCTTTTCTTCCACATCAATCTTTTTCACTCCAGAGGCGCGCAGCAGTGCTCTCCGTTTTTTTGTTGGCAAGGGTTGTAGAAAGAAGTATTCATCTACCTCTGTGTTGTCTAAATCAATATCATCATCAGAAATGTCATCCACAGTCAGCGTGCTGGCTTCTTCAGATTCCACTGTGCCATTCTTAGTCATCTGGAAACACCAAGCAGGCAATTAGAGATTTAGTTTGGCCAGCATCTAAAATCACTTCTTTTACAGTTGGTAAGAATGAAACTGTTAGATAACATTGTTGTTGTTTTGTTGTTGTTGTTATGTGCCGTCGTGTCAGACCGGACTCAGAGCGACCCCTCCTTGGGTTTGCGAGGCAGTATCACTACGGAAGTAGATTGCCCCATCTTCCTTCTGAGGAGTGGCTGGTGGGTTTGAACCGCCAGCCTTCTGGTTAGCAGTCAAGCGCCTTAGGCACTATGCTACCAGCGCTCCCTAGATAACATTACGTCCGTATAATTAATAAGTGTACATGAATCAAATAATTTCCCTTTCTTAATTTGTTTTAAGAGAAATCACAGGAAGGAAAATGAAGGCATCAAAACGATAGGCTTTTAAGAATACTGGTAACAGCCAGAAGACTCTTAATTAGAACGCTTCACCTCCGAATGTTAAGAGCTACAATTATTAGAGCTTGGAGCCTGAGTAATGTGAAAAAGACCAAGACAGATGCCCAAAAGTAAAGTTATCTTTCCACTCAGTTAGCAATGGACAGTTCTGAGGTTGTTATTCACAGGTGTTAGTATCTTAGTGGACGTCTTCACCAGCAGCTCAGCAAACATGTTGTTCTTGAAATAATGACTCTCACTTTTGGACACTGGCAAAACCATCGTCCAGGAAATAAAGTTGTGCTGCTCTATGCTACTGGAATTACAAACACGATTACCCTAATGAACATTCCAAGAATGAGGGCTTGATTTGAAGTAATCAGTCTGCATTGTCTGCATGGTCTCAGTGCAGAGGGCAGTGTGGCAAGCTCTCACCAATCGACACCTGAAATTATAGACTCGGTCCTCAGGGGAGTTCATACAGACCTTTACCCAACATGATACCTTCTGTATAATAGCTCCTGTGGACAATCATATCTCACATACTGGTAACTACTCTGCTTCTATTTATACTTCTTATCTAAATTAATCTCATCCATCAGCAAACCCTGAATCAGTATTTCCCTTCTTATTCTTAAGCCACCACATACCAAGTTTCTTCTTTAAGATGCATTTAGAAAAAGAAGTTTTGTCTAAATATGAGCTAAGAAATGTATTCTGGGCAGCAGCACAGGCACAAATGTAAAAACTCCATAGTACATTAATCAAGGAAATTTGAAATACAGAAACTGTTTTAACTCTTTAATTTTTAATTTTTTTACTTTGTAAAAAAAAAAAAAAAACAAGCCCATAGCTGTCAAGTCGGATCTGACTCTTAGCAACCTTGGGTTTCCAAGGTGGTATCACTATGGAAGTAGATTGTCCAACCTTCCTTCTGAGGAGTGGCTGGTGGGTTTCAACCACCAGCCCTGTGGTTAGCAGTCAAATGCCTTAGGCACTATGCCACCAGAGCTCCCTTTTTACTTTGTATCATTAATTATAATTATTCCCATGCTTTAAAAATCTTAACAACAGTTCAGTCACTACACAGTTCAAATATGTTAGTGATAACATTCCTTATCATCACAGGAAAAACCTGACATTTAAATAAGAATATTTGTTATCAGCCAAAAGTGCAAATTGTACAACTCTCAATGTATCAACAAAGTGAAAATTGCTCTTTATCCTCAAAGAGAGAGAAACTATCATAGAGGAAACAACACGGTGTATATTTAAAATATGTTACAAAGGGTCCTTGAAATACATTTTAAAAAGCTACTTTATTATATTTTTCAAATTATTTCAGAGAGTTCTGAGTTTAAATCTGTATTCATGCATAGATGGACATTTCCTTGTAGTGGATTCTGTTTCTTGGTATAATCTCCAATTTATCTCCTTCCTTAGTATTCCTTTGTATATGTCCTAAGAAAACTGTTTTCATTTTTCTGTGATGTTCTTTACTGGGCTTTTACTTTGATTGGTTGCTATTATTTTTGTTAATTTTTATTTATACTAGTAGATTATTTCTATCTGTAAAGAACTTATTTTATAAGGCATTCAAGTATGTAATTGCCTAATGTACTGTTGTTGTTGTTGCTGTTGTTAAGTGCTGCCAAGTCAATTCTGACTCGTAGTGACTGTGGTAGTTAAAGCTATGTGTCAACTTGGCTGGGCCTGGTTTTGAGTGGCTGGGCAAGTGAAAGTAGTTATTCCCCACATGAGACAGGTAATAACTCCATGGTGGAATCTGCTGTGAGCAGCTGAGTAGCTGGCTTAGGGATGTGGTCAGCTTCCAGTATATAAGAAGACACTTTGAGAAAGGTCTGGAGCTCTTTGGCACGCTTGGACTCTGCATGTAGCCAAGTCTTCATTCATCAGCTTGCCATGTTGCCTGCTGATCTTTAGACTGTTTCTGGACTTGAACTAGTGGTCTGATCTGTTGCTTGATAATCTTGAGACTGTGCCATTTTATTTGTCAGCCTTGGGTTTGTCAGCCTCAGCAGTCAGCAGCTGTCTGAGTTAAGAGAAGCCTCCAGCTTCAGTGGGCCAGGAGCAAGAGGCAGAGCTGAAGCCCAAGGTTGAGGGGCCTTTACCCAGCCCCTAGAGCTAGCACTTAGAACTCAGACTTCTAGCTTCCTAAGCTATAAGGGGATAAATCCCTGTTTGTTCCCCTTGTGGTATTTTCTGTTAGAGTGGCACTAGAGAATGAAAACAGTGAACCCAAGTACAACAGAATAGAACATTGCCCTGTCTTGCACCATCCCACAATCCTTGCTATGCTTGAGCCCATCGTTGTAGCCACTGTGTCAGTCCATCTTGTTGATGGCCTTCTCCTATTTCTCTGGCTCTCCATTTTACCAAGCATGATATCCTTTTCCAGGGACTGATCCCTTCTGATCACATGACCAAAGTAGGTGAGACAAAGTCTGGCCATTCTCACTTCTCAGAAGCATTCTAGCTGCACTTCGTCCAGGCAGATTTGTTGGTTCTTGTGGCAGTCATGGTTTTTTCAGGATTCTTCACCAAAACCACAATTTAAAGGCATCAATTCTTCTTTGTTCTTCTTTATTCATTGTCCACCTTTCACATGCATATGAGGTGACTGAAAATATTATGCCTTGGGTCAGATGCACCTTAGTCTTCAAAGTGACATCTTTGCTCTCAAAACTTTAAAGAGGTCTTTTGCAGCAGATTTACCTAGTCAATATGATGTGTGATTTCTTGACTACTGCTTCCATTAGTGTTGATTGTGGATTCAAGTAAAATGAAATCCTTGACAACTTCAATCTTTTCTCCATTTATCATGATACTGCTTCTTGGTCCAGTTGTGAGGATTTTTGTTTTCTTTATATTGAGGTATAATTCATGCTGAAGATTGTAACCTTTGCTCTTCATTAGTAAATGTTTCAGGTCCTCTTCACTTTCAGCAAGCAAGGTGGTGTCATCTCATATTGCAGGTTGTTAATGAGTTTTCCTCCAATCCTGGTGCTATGTTCCTCTTTGTACAGTCCAGCTTCTCAGATGATATGCTTAGCACACAGATTGAATAAGTATGGTGAAAGGATACAACCCTGGCACACACACTTCGTGATTTTAAACTATTGAGTATTCCCTTGTTCTGTTCAAACAACAGCCTCTTGGTCTGTGGACAGGTTCCTCATGAACACAATTAAGTGTTCTAAAAGTCCCATTCTTTGCAATGTTATTCATAATTTGTTATGATTCACACAGCTGAAGGTCTTTGCATAGTCAATGAAACACAGGTAAACATCTTTCTAGTATTCTTTACTTTCAGCTAAGATCCATATAACATCAGCAATGATATCCCTTGTTCCATGTCCTCTTCTGAATCCAGCTTGCATTTCTGGAAGTTCCTTTTCGATATACTGCTGTAACCATTTTTGAATTACCTTCAGCAAAATTTTGCTTGTGTGTGATATTAATGACATTGTTTGATAATTTCCACAGCCTGCTGGAACACCTTTCTTTGGAATGAGCACAAATATGTATCTCTTCAAGTCAGTTGGCCAAGTAGCTGTCTTCTAAATTGTCTGCCATAAATGAGTAAGCTCCTCCAGAGTTGCATCTGTTTGTGGAAACATCTCAATGGGTATTCCATCAGTTCCTGAAGCCTTGTTTGTCACCAATTCCTTCAGTGCATCTTGGACTTCTTCCTTCAATGCCATTGATTCTTGATCATATGCTGCCTCCTGAAATGACTGTTGACAAATTCCTTTTGGTGCAGTGACTCTGGGTATTCCTTCCATCTTCTTTTGATGCTTCCTGCATCCTTGAATATTTTGCCCATAGAATTCTTCAATATTTCAATTCAGGGCTTGAATTTTTTCTTCTGTTCCTTAAACTTGAGAAATGCTGAGCATGTTCTTCCTTTTTGTTTTTCTAGCTCCAGTTCTTTGCACATTTCATTAAAATACTTTACTTTGTCTTCTTAGGCCACCCTTTGAAATACTCTGTTCAGCTCTTTTATTTCCATATTTCTTCCTTTTGCTTTAGCTACTCTCCATTCAAGACCAAGTTTCAGAGTCTCTTCTGACATCCATTTTGGTCTTTTCTTCCTTTCTTGTCTTTGTAATGACCTTTTGCTTTCTTCAAGTATAATTTTCTTGATGTCATCTCACAACTCATCTGGTCTTTGGTCACTGATGTTTCATGTGTTAAATCTATTCTTCACATGGTCTCTAAATTCAGGTGGGATATATACTCTAGGTAATATTTCTGCTCTCATAGAGTTACTTTAATTTTCTTCAGCTTCAACTGGGACGTGCATATGAGCAATTGATGATCTGCTCCAAAGTCAGCTCCCGGCCTTGTTTGGATTTATGATTTTGAGCTTCTCCATCATCTCTTTCCACCGATGTAGTTGATTTGATTCCTTTGTGTTCTATCTGGCAATGTCCACATGAATAGTCACCATTTATGTTGTTGAAAAAGGATATTTGCAATGAGTAAGTCTTTGGTCTTGCAGAATTCTATCATGCTATCTCCAACATCATTTCTCTAATCAAAGCTATATTTTCCAACTACCAATGCTTCTTC